CTCCACTCCAACTCCACCTATAAATTAATAAAATCAACTCCAACTCCACTCCAACTCTAGTGAAAAAAAGTGGCAACTCCGGAGTTAACTCCAACTCCGAGTTGGAGTTGCCCATCTCTGATTGCAGTCTAAAATCAAGCGAAATATATAGAAGGCAACAAAACAATGTTGCGATTGTGTTCTCTATTTTCTTTGTATTTTCCAGCTGTTCGATATTCTAGAATGTTCGCTCGAAGAATAACTTATCGGGGGAAAACTATTAGCTAACCAACGAAATTCTAATGAACAAAGAAAATGAAAAGAAAAGAAATCAATATTTATTAGTAACGACATCTTAAGATTTTCGACGTTTTGTTTAATTGATATTTTTTTCTTCGACCAAAGTTGCTTCGGTATTTATTCTTCGATATTTATTCGTCCGATATTGTTTTGTTGGATATTTATTTTTCGATACTTCTTTTTCTACATTTTTTCTTTCGACGTTTTCAATGCCATTCGTATGTTATGTTCTAATTTGACGTCGCATTGTTCGACATTTTTGGGTACTTGATCAAAATGTTTTTTTCTTTATATCTTGGCGCCTTCTGATATTTGTAACATTTAAGATTTATCTTCAAATTATAATGAATAGTTGATTGCACGACATCAAATTTTCTTGATGATTTTCATTGAATAACACTAGCTCGATTTTCAGCAGCCTATTACAAAACGTTTCAAGGTTTTGTATGACAAGATTTTCGACGACCATTTCTTGAAAGGTCTTCGATTGATAGATCAATTTTATAATGTTTTATTTGATAATATATCGTTGATCTTTTAGAATCTTCTTGCAAAAAATTTTGTATTATATTACTTTTTTCAACTTAGTTTTTTGTTCAAGTATATAGAATAAACACGTTAACGAAGATCAATTAGTTTCACAACAAATGATCAACCGAAAAATCTCAAATTAATAGCACAGATAGAGGATACGTTGAGCTATATAATCAATAAAAAAGAATTTATTCAGACAACTTTTATGAATATGTTTTATCTTGCAACATTTTACCGGAAAACTTTTCCATCACCCCTTTACAAATGTTATAAAACTCTGACTGATACAAATGTTTTGTTCAATAGTTTTTCATAAAATGCATGATGATCATTGAGCGACAAAACCACAGTTGCAATTAAAAATATGAATTTATTTGGAACTAAAATATAATAAACGTTAATATTGTTAAAAACCAAAAAAAGGGACCTTCGACCAAGCTTAAGAAAACGATGAGATAAATAACCGTTTTCGATACTTTGATGATATAATTTTATAGACCCATAGTGTGTGCATTTTATGTAAAAAATTAGAAACAAAGCATAAGTAGCATAAGACAAGCATGAATTTCAATCTTGTCCGAAAATTTTTCGATCATCCGTCATACAATTTTATACATCAAGTGTCAACAGTACCCTAGAGACAACCAACAGAAAAATCAAAGGTCATGGAACATGCACAAAACGTCATGTTCTATCAAGATTTTTGATAATAGCTTCGAATATTGCCAATAATTGATCAAGTGAAGGAAATCCTACATCAATCAATGGAAAAATATTTGTCACTGAGCTAACAATATCCTTAGAATTATCGACCTTATCTTATCTATGGACTAAATCACGAATATATATAATTTGTATTTCGAATGGTTCTTCAAAACATATTATACACCAGCTCGTGATCGACAATCAATTTCTCAAATCAGTTTAAATAAATATAAAAATAAAACATGACCAACATTTAATCAATTCAAAAAATGATTTGATATTTGGTGTATGGAAATGGATAATGGTTCAGATTGGAAAAAATCAAAATGCAACTGTCCAAGATTTTTTCAGAACTCCATATACAAATGCGTTGTTGACATGACTATTCGTTTGAAATATTTCAAACTACCAGCAGCAACAAAATACAATATCGATTGGTGAGAAAAGAAAACGAGTCAAACCAGTTGAGGCGAATCCTACTTTGCCAGTCAAATAATTTCATTTTCATTTTCTCTTTTCTTACTTGTTCTTTCAGCTTTTTTTTCCCTACTTATTCACATTTATTTTTCGCATACTAATTTACTTAATACTGTTAAAACTTATTGCTCTACTGATAAAATCTCTATTCTATACAAATCAAATTTGCGCTTGTTACTGAAATCAATTGTAATTGTTTATTGTTACTCATTTGTAATAAATTGATCATTTTATTATTAGCTACTGATAATTTCGATACTGATCATTCAATCTATCTTATTGATCAAATAGTTTATTCCTCTGTTGTTTGCATATGCGAAGTCGCTCAGCTTGTTGAGAATCTTTCAGATGCATGTATATGTAATGAGTGGTAATTTCTTCAAGTTTCAGATGCTCGGAGATTATCCGGTAAACGGTACCATAACTCAGACCACCTTGCTTCTGTATTTCTTCCATCGTTATGTGAGAATCATCGTTACTAAGGTTTCTGAGTTGTTCAATATTTTCAAGTGTTGTTTCTGTTGCAGATCTGCTAGATTGTGCGTCATCTTTAATCTCTTTACTAACTTGACGAAAATTATTGAAAATATCTTTTAACTGATCAAAGAGAAGAAACTTCATCGTCGAAAGCACAATACAATTCGTCATGAATAACCCTTGCTTGAATACTAAGTGCAGTGAGCACTTTAACGAAGAAGTGAAAATTTCCCTTATTCATATGTAACAAAGACGAACAGTGCAAAAATTTAATCGAACTTTATTTCTTTAGTTTTCTTAAAAACACACTAATAAACAAAATATACGTAAAAAAAAACTACAACAAACAGAACACGTGCTTTCATATATTTGTATATCGGTGTGTAGACGGCTACGTATTCATAGAGACGAGAGAGAAAACAAAAAAAAAAGCAAGAGAGGAGAAAAACGAACGGAGAATACATATTGATGACAATGCAATCTAATGTTAGCATCACATATCAAAAGAAACAGTTCTTATCGAAATTTTATTATTGTGATACTACTTGAAGAATGATCCAGTACTATAGAAAAATAGAACATTGTTTTCACCATCACTGCATATAAAAAACCGTTTCCTCAAGCTTTCTATACGGAAATAAGGTACTTCCGCTCCCATTTTTGCATAGCACTATATATGTATTTCAGCTTTTTTCAGGAAATCCATTGTCTGCGCAGATAATCATTCACGAGAAAGTGATTAGCTAAATACATGCTACAATAAAAATATCTACCACCATATCTAGCAAATTTTATTTTCAGTATGAAGACCTTGTGATCAAAGGTAAATCCAAAATAGTGACGATATGCGTATGACAGAATGACAAACTTGTTTTTGTTTTATTCAAATAATAAATGAAAGAATGCAACACAAATAAACATAGAGCTAATGTTGCATAAAGAAGAAGAGAAAAGCATAATTAATGTATGGACAAATACGCATGTATGTAGTAAATGCCGCTTACCATGCATAGCTGCGAAATATGGTGATGGATAAAACCCGTCAAAATGCATTTTGTTTTTCGTAATAACTACATCATCATTCCGAGGGCCATTGAGAGATTTTCTTCTCTTTCTCTTCTTCACATCTGTATAAACAGTCATATCTGGATGTTAAATTGCGAACGCATCACAAGTAAAGAAAAAGCGAAGAAAAAGGCTTAATCACCATTGTACAAAATATACTGCTTACTCGTTGTTAATAACTATGAGTGCTCCATTGTTCCTCACACCCAAAACAAGCAGCCCTTGGAAGCCTTTAACTTTAGTAGTAATTGTGGGACTTAGTAGTGCTGTAGTGATGATTGGGATGGCACTGGGTTTAGGCTTAGGTATCGGACTAAATAATAGTAACCAAGATTTACAGCAGTCTATAACGACAACGACCACAATATCGACTACTTCAAGCACCACAACCACCACAACAACAATAACAACAACAACCAGCACCACCACCACCACCACCACTACCACAACAACAACAACAACAGAAACAACAACAACAGAAACAACAACAGCATCCACAACAGCAGCAATTGGTTAGTGGTCTGATCACCTTGGTTTCCTATGTGTGAGACTCTATATCAAGCTCTATTTTCATTAGATTCATTCAAGGACACTTCAAGATTTATCATACGCAACTATGTGTATTAGATTGCAAGAAAGAATTACCAAATACAAAACTTTTTCTTTTCTTGTTTGATGATTTTTAGAGTAACTATCCATTATTTTCTACCGATCGCCTTTATTTATTTCACTTCTTCATAAAACTATTTCCAATAGCACAAGATAGTCTCAATAAGATTCATCTAGAGATGAATTACACTAAATTTTGACTGTCTCCCCACGTTATATTACCTACTTTGCCCTGCTATATAGTACACAGTCAATCAATTCTAATTTTTCACCTATGAAAACATCGATACTGAAACTATTTTACAGCTGAATTTATATCTTCTATTCTTATTGAAGTAATCTCTTGATCAAAGAGGACCATCGTACCTGTAATCATAAATTTGGCTTTCGATCATAAGATGATAAAGGGCGATTCAAAAGTCTTGGTTGTTCTTAGAAAATTTGCACATTCTTCCTTATAACAAATTCAAACACGCTCAAAATGTTTAGTCTAACCGTTTGTAACTAGACGAATAGTATCATAAATCTCCAGATTTATAGTCCTCATTATCGAACAGATATACAGGTTCGTATGATAGTGAAGACTTTTCCATGTTACGAAATAAGTCGAAATTCAAAAGAGATGTCTACAAAAATTAATTTTTACTACTTATTATCGGAATTTTAAAAGAAGGCATGTGAAAAAAAGCTTATAACTTTCGAACGAAACGTCATAGCGACTTGCAATTTTCAGCAATCGATAGAAGACTAAAGAGGACACATTTTTATATAAAAATCAAGGTTTAAATAATCAAACACAAAAGGAGTGATTGTGGAATCACTGAACGAATAGGCTTGTTATCTGATGAAATCTCAGCAGAACAAGCTGAAACTTTCAGGATATATATAGTCCCACGGTAGCCCAACCTTCCCTGAAAATATCATCGATAAATCTTGTAATGACAGGAAATGGTGTGCCAATCATTATACTGGTCTTACATAAGGCCCTCATTCACTCAGTATATTAGAAAATGACCTCAAATTTTGGCTGAATAAATATCATAATCTACAGTTCATATCCATGAAATAACATCATACTTTAGTCGTAGAAATGAAGGGAAGCAGCCAAAATTGGACGAAGAAATGATTTTCATACAGTAAGTATTTAAAACAAAATCTTTCCAACTTTTTCAAGAGAAATGCAGAGCCAAGGGGAAACAAACTGATTTCTGCGCCTAGAAATCACTAGAAATCATTGGAAATCACTGGAAATCACTGGAAATCCGCGGAAATCACTTTAGAAGCTTAAGTATAGAAAATACTGAGCAGAAGTGGCTAAAAAATGTTGCAAACCATCAAGAGCTGTTAGAAGACGTGAGAACTCACAGGAAATCAATTTTAATTATAGAAACCTTGTACTGGTAAAGTTAAAAATAGAATCCTGATTTCTAGTGATTCCCGGTGATTTCTTTGTTTTTTTTAATTCTAAATGTTTGTCAATATTTCATTTGATTGCTCTTGACTTTTGATGATTTCTAGTGAGTTCTATGACCAGAGTCATAGAACTCACTAGAAATCATCAGAAATCACTAGAAATCATTAGAAATTACGAAAATCAAGAAATCAGTTTGTTCCCACTTGTGCAGAGCTTAGTCATATTCAGAGATGGGCAAGTCACCGATTTTTTGACTGAAGCCAAGTCAAGTCAAAATTCAATTCAGTTCTCATCAAGTTTTTATTTTATTTGTATAAGATCAAGATATGATACTTTCATCCCATTTCAAATGAAAAAGAGTTTCCAACGAAGTTTCACGATAAGTAAAAAAATAACTAGAACAAAAAATATATCACAAATAAATCGATTTGACTCCGTAAAAAAGCAAATGCTCCGCAAATAATCGATTTATCATCACACAAGAAACAAATGTATTACAAATAAATTGACCTGATCATAATAACCATAAAAAAATGTACTGAATATCAAAAATATATTCTGTCTAAATTCCACAATTAAATTTCAACAAGGTCAATTGTTTAAGGGATTTTTTGAATCGTTCGAGCACAGTGAGCTCGGCAAAGAAAACCGTTTTGCGAAAGAACACGTTCGACAGCGGCTGTTGTAACCGGTATGCATAAATATTTTGTAGCTAATTTGGCTAATGTGTTATATGAGTTAGATGCTGTTGGCTTTAAGAGAATCATGTTGTCATTGTTACTATCATTAAGATAACGTGAGATTTCTTTAATATAATTATGTGAATCAATTGGTTTTTTTTCAATATTTCTAATCATTATGAATATTTGAAAATAGACATTTCCTCGTGAGTGCACTTGGACTTGACGATTGAGCACTGTGGGCTTGTTCTTCCTGAACCCGTGCGGCCTCCACTGGAACAGAAGTTTCTTTAGTATATTCAATAATAACACCATGATCAAACATAAGGTTTTTAATTCTTGTACATATACGTTCTTTAGCTGCATCAGGAAGAAAAAATTCAGTAATTCAATTAACTTTGAACATGCCATCAAGATATGACGTAAAAAGGAAAACAGGATCTTTATACAGATTATAAAACTGGTGTTTCTTTTTAAATTCGATATCTGTTTCATTAATATCAATTTCCGATTGTTCCAAAAGACCATCGAATCGTGATAACAAAGAAGAAATTAAAGAATAAAATATCGTTACTGTATGTTGAATGTTAATTTTTTTTTCATTTTTTAAATCGAAATAAATAGTAAGAATACTCGCAGCAACAAGAGAAATAGATGGAGAATTGTCACGTTGTGTAGTTGTTGTTACTTCAGCAACTAATGATAATAAAACAACAAATTCATTGAAAATAGCTAAATCACGTACATTTAAACAAAGATTTGAATGTTTTAATTCGATTAGAATTTCATTTAATTCAAGAGTAGGTATAGCTAAAATACTTTCAAAAGTTAAAAATTGAGAATTCCAACGTGTAATGACAGCACGAGGTATTGATATTTTCATCGTATCTAATTTTTCCGAAAATTTTGTATTTTTATGTGAAAGTTTTGCAAATGCAGACACAATTTCTAATGATGATAAGTTCGATTTTGTTTCTTTTAATCCATCCTTTACGATAAACTGAATTGTATGAGCAAAACAAGGAATTCGAAAAACTTCATTGTTTTCTAATAAACTACCAAAAGAATTGTTAATAAGATCTTCTTGTGTTAATTCAGCAGTTGTAGACAGAGACCGAAACGAGTCAAAAAAATCTGATTCGACTCGACTCGACTCGACTTAAGTATTCACTCGATTCGATTCGACTCGACAGACATTTGAAAAAACCTAACTCGACTCGACTCGACCCAACTTCAATAT